ATATATATATATATATATATATATATATTATTTGTTTCTATGCAAACAAATAAAAAAAAAATTGCATTGCTAAAATGTCTAAATCTTATAGTATATTTTGAAGTGAAAAAATTCTATATTTTTTTCATGCTTTTTTTGTCAAAAAAATTAATTAAAATAAAAAATTTGCATGAAAATGATTATATTTTTGTAAATTATAAAAAATTATATAGAGAGAGCAAATATAACGTTAGATCAACAATAAAGTAACATTATTGAATGTTTGTTACTGATGTGCTTGTACAAATTTGATAAAATCTATATTTATTTCTTTGCAAAAATAAATAAATAAATAATAATAATTTTGCATTGCTAAAATGTCTAAATCTTTTATTATATTTAGAAGTGAAAACATCCTGATAGATATGCAAACCAAGTAACATCATTTAATGTTCTTTACTGATGATGAATTTGAGCAAATCTGACCAATGTTGAGTTTTCTTTGCAAAAAACGTTGTATTGCTGAAATTTCTATATCTTAAAGTATATTTATTAGTGAAAACATTGTATGAACAAGTAAAGTAACATAATTGTACTTTACTGATGTATTTGTATATATTCTCACATATTTGTTCTTTTGTAAAAAAAAAAAAAATATTGCTAAACTTTCTATATCTTAAAGTATATTTAGTAGTGAAAACATTCTGATAGATGTACGAACCAAATAAAATAGCAATTTAATGTTCGTTATTGATTTTTTAAATATATATTCTGACCAATATATATATATTTGTATCTGTGCAAAAAATAAAATAAAATTCTCAAAGTATATTTAGAAGTGAAAACATTCTGATAGATGCGCAAACCAAGTAAAGAACATAATTTAAAGGGGTCATATGATGCTTTTTTAAAGATCATTATTTTGTGTATTTGGTGTAACAGAATATGTTGACATGCTTTAATGTTCAAAAAACACATTATTTTTCAAATACTGTACATTATTGTAGGTCCTCTATGCCCCGCCTCTCTCAAACGCTTCGTTTTCTACAAAGCCCCCTCCTTTGACAAGCGCAGTCCGCTCTGATTGGCCAGCTGACCCAGTGCACTGTGATTGGCCGAACACCACA